GAGATGGAAAAGGATGGGAAGCTCCCCTTTCTAGATGTAACAGTCATGGAAAAGAGCGGAGGTTTCCACACTGCAGTCTACACTAAGGAAACGAACATAGGAATGTGCCTAAATGCCAACAGCGACTGCCCAGGCAGGTACAAGAGGAGTGTTGTTAACGCATATGTCGACCGTGCTCTCAGCCACAGCTCAGAATGGAAGCAAGTCGACGAAGAACTCTGTAGGGTAAGGCAGGTCCTAGTCAACAACGGCTTCTCCAATGGTTTCGTCGAAGACATCATAAGAAGGAAAGTGAAACGCCATGCAACCTCTGAAGAGACAACTAACACAACACCTATACCCCCTATTAGACTATTTTACAGGAACTTCTTTTCCACAGCTCATAAAACGGAGGAAAGGGTCCTGAAAGATATTGTTAATAGAAACGTTATCCCTACAGACAAAAATCAGAGGATACAACTGACGATTTACTATAAAACCAGAAAAACGGCCAGCCTACTCATGAGAAACTCTCCAGACACAAAGCAGAACGCTTTAAAAGAGACCAACGTCGTCTATGCCTTCAAATGCCCACTTGGGGACTGTAAGCTCCAAAAAACCCAGTATATAGGCAAGACAACAACATCTCTTTCTAGGCGTTTAACGATGCATAAGCAACAGGGCTCCATTAAGGAACATATAATCTCTTCCCACAACCAAACCATCGCCAGAGAAATCCTAGTAAACAACACAGAAATCATCGATAGATACAGCGATAGCAGACGGCTTGACGTTTGCGAGGCACTGCACATTAAGAAGTCAACACCAGCAATCAACAGCCAATTAATGCACAACTATATTCTACCCACCTCAAGACTCCGCTCCAATATAGAAGCATCAAGAAATATGGACCAATAGGCTTTCTACAATCACTTCCATTTCAATACCCATTGTTTCGTGTTCTGTCTTGTGTTGATGAAATTAATACCCTATTAAATTCCACCTCATCCCATCCACCTCACTCAATTGTAGATATAAACAAATCGGAGATATGTAATTTCTATTCAGTTGTGTATGTGTAAAGTCTTTGAAAATGTAATAAGTTTTACGAAACGCGCTCAAGTGTCGCGTCAGACTAGAAATAAAAATGGATTTTGGAGAATTGATTTTTGAATTACCTCCAACAGTGAAAAGAAAAGTACGAAAGATTGAGAAAATTCGTGTTAGAATTATTAATCTTACTTTTTCGGTCATATATAATATATATATATATATATATATATATATATATATATATATATATATATATATATATATATATATATATATATATATATATATATATATATATAAAATATAAAAATATAAATATTATATATAATATATATATATTTGTTTTTTAATAAAATATAAGAAAGGGAATACCACCTCTGGCTGGAAGATGGGGACCCATGGCCTCGGAAAAAATCACACATAACGCATTAGAGAGAATGTTTATGTCCCCTCCAATTCAGTTTCTGTGTGCTTTTCTCCTACCACCCCTTACTTTTGTGTGTTTTTTTGTGCTTTATTATGTATTTGAAGGTTACAAGATATACATTGGTTGATACAAAAAGTGCTGAAAGGTTATAGATCTCTTGAAGCTCCTCCGTTTCAGGACGGGAATCGAGGACGCAGCAGGCGTTTCCCCTCTGGATTACCACAGTGAGGCGCTGAAACAAAAAACTGGCAGCCCTTGGGTCCCTGGTGACGTCAATGAGCTTGGAGCTCAATTCCTTGAGAAATCCCAAGGCACTCTTGTCCCAGGGGCCATGCGTTTCAGACGCTATGGGAACAAAGATGTATTGACCTTCCAATCGCCTGTACTTGAATGATTTTGCTGTTTCCCTGTGGTTGGCCGACCCACCTGCTTGATCTGCACCGAAGTGTACATAGGTGTCAGCCAGGGTGGATACACACGGGTAGTCCCACACCAAGTGTCTGCCCCCCTTCCAGGAGTATATGGTGATGCCATCAGGGCGAAGTGCGGGGATATCCGGGTTTTGGTCCCCTAGGATGCGAGGTTCTCTCTCCGATGAGCACTGAGCTGAGACGAGGATTCTCTTGATGATGTCATTGACCTCATTGTGTCTTGGTTCGGCGGCTAATAAACTTTGTAAGTGGTTGGTAAAAGTTTTGTTCCCTATCGTTGGTACTATTACCAACTCACACTTAACAATGTAGACTTAATTAATAAGCTATCCACACTAAATTTGAATTTTGATTTTAAACTGGGGGTTTTGACGTGACTACTTTGTTCACTAGAGTACCTGTTGATGATTTGTTGGAAAACCTACGTGAGAAACTGCCTAAATATAATTTGAGCTCGCAGACCAATAATGTGTTGGAACTTATCAAATTATGTATAAAAGACAATTATTTTAGTTTCAATGGAAAAATTTTCAAACAAACATTTGGAATGGCAATGGGCAATCCCCTATCTCCAGTTTTGAGCAACTTGTATATGGAGTTCTTCGAAAGAAAAATCTTATACAGGATTATCCCCTATAATGTAGTCTGGTTTATGTATGTCGACGATATTTTGTGCTAATGGCCGAGTGACCAAGACCAAATTGTTTTTCTTAATGAACTTAACTCTTTGGTACCTTCAATAAAATTCACATGTGAAAATGAGGAGAATTGTACTCTTCCGTTTTTGGACATTATGATTCATAGAGTCAAGAGAAGGTTCAAATTTAATGTGTATAGAAAACCTACCAACGTGGGGTCGTTTGTTCATTATTATTCCAATCATCATAGTAAAGTTAAACAGGCAGTATTTTCAGGAATGTTCCTTCGAGCTTTGAGGGTATGCAGCCCTGAGTTTTTTTATGAAGAGATAGTAAAGATATATGAAACTGGGAAGAGTTTACAGTATCCTAAGATGTTTTTGGATTGTTCGTTTGGGAAAACTAAACGTACCTTTTATAATAATGTCTCCAAAACGAAACCAGAAATTAAAAATTCAATGGTGGTACCTTATGCGATGGGATTTGAGAAACTTTCCCCAGTTTTTAAGAACCTTAATATCAATTTAGTGTTCACAAATAATACAATCAAGTCTAATTAATAAAAAACTCCCCTGGTACAGCAGGTTGTGTGTATTCGATTCCCTGCAATGATTGTGAGTCTGTGTACCTTGGACAAAGAGGAAAATCTTTACAATTACGTATGTCCCAACATGCTTATAGTATAAGAACTACCCAAACGTCCAATGCTTTGTATCTACATACAAGTTTGTATCATCACACTATTAATTGGGATGGGGCGAAAAGCATTGTCAATTGCAATGGCTTTGTGGAACGAAATTTAATTGAGTCTGCCCTAATTAGTCAATGTCCAAATCTTCTCAATGTTAGTACTGTGGTATGTACAAACTTGACCCAGTTTTAAGTTACAATATTACACAACAGTTTAAGAAAAAACTCTGAAAGGGAGGCTTACAATGTCTCATTACAATTTTATATTCATTTATTGTGTGTTCGTGAGGCTTTTCTTTAATCTTATTCCTTATTCTCTGACCGCTTAATCCTCTTTGACCTCTCCTGTTTTTGGTAATCCTTTCCCTAGAGATGGGTTGGTCAGGTTCCTTGGTGCTGGCCTGCATCCTCTCTCTCTTCCTCTAGTCAGTCTGATGTTGACAACGGCTTTAACAGGCTGAAACGTTCATCTCTCTTTCACATTTCTTTGTGGTTTTTCCGCATACAAATGATCAGTGTTTAGTGATCGTCAATTGCATATATATATATATATATATATATATATATATATATAATATATATATATATATATATACTTCACTTCATTATATACTTATTAGAAGACACTTCAAGACTCCACTTCTATATAGAAGCATCAAGAAATATGGACCAATAGGCTTTCTACAATTACTTCCATTCAATACCCATTGTTTTGTGTTCTGTCTTGTGTTTGAATTTAATACCCATTCAATACCCATTGTTTCGTGTTCTGTCTTGTGTTGGAATTTAATACCCATTGAATACCCATTGTTGAAAGTTCGTTTTTCACCTCATCCACCTCACCCAAATGTAGATATAAACCTCGAAGATGTGTAAGCTCTATTCAGTTTCAGTTGTGTGTTTGTAAACTAAAGTCTTTGAAAATGTAATATGTTTTACGAAACGCGCTCAAGTGTCGCGTCAGGCTAGAAATAAAAATGAATTTTGGAGAATTGATCTTTGAATTACCATCAACAGTGAAAAGAAACGTAAGAAACAGAAAATTCGTGTTAGAGTTATTAATCTTACTTTTTCGGTCATATTTAATAATATATGTCTACAGGAAAGACTGCTACCAAAATATACTAATATATATATATATATATATATATATATATATATATATATATATATATATATATATATATATATATATATATATATATATATATATATATATATAATGTGTGTGTCGTACCTAGTAACCAGAACGCACTTCTCAGCCTACTATGCAAGGCCCGATTTGCCTAATAAGCCAAGTTTTCATGAATTAACTATTTTTCGACTGCCTAACTTACCTAACCGAACCTAACTTTTCGGCTACTTAACCTAACCTAACCTATAAAGATAGGTTAGGATAGGTTAGGTAGGGTTGGTTAGGTTCGGTCATATATCTACGTTAATTTTAACTCCAGTAAAAAAAAATTGACCTCATACATAATGAAATGGGTAGCTTTATCATTTCATAAGAAAAAAATAGAAAAAATATATTAATTCAGAAAAACTTGGCTTATTAGGCAAATCGGGCCTTGCATAGTAGGCCGAGTACGACGTTCTGGCTACTAGGTACAACATATTATATATATATAATATAATATATATAATATAATATAATATATATTATAATATAAACTCTACTTTGATACGATGTGTCGATTTTTTCTAAATGAATTTGTTTCATTATATTTTTGATCTTATAGTTATGAGTAAGAGACCACAAATTATATCTGTTTTCTATTTCAGAAAGCAAGAAACACGAGTGAGAAAGTTAACAAGGAAAACACGTACGAGATGTGAAAGAAGAAGTGAAACAAAGAGAAGAACATAAGAACAAGTAAGAGAGCGAGAGAGAGAGAGAGAGAGCACAAGGACTAGAGAGAGAGCGCCTACATGTTCTCACAGAACAGGGAACTCTCACAATAACTACAACAGCTATCATAAGCAAGCTGCATATTTTTGTACTTTATTACTTATAATCAAAATACCGACATATCTCAGTCTGCCTTACCACACTCTCTCATGAGAGCCAGCCACAGCATCAACACCTTCGAGCTGAGAGTGCGGGATGCTGAGGGTCTCAGAGACTCTCTGCTAGCTATAAGTTTACAGTGGCTGGAAGTTCGATAATGTTCTCAATATATATACACTTGCAGATGCCTGAAATTTGATGGGATGCGAGCAGCGTGTAGTGGGAGTCGACACCCGTCCCGGCTCGCCAGACAGGTTTCTTGACCCGGCTCACGTGACGCAATCTTAACCAACCACACGCTAGCAGCCCTCTTCAGTGTTCAGTAGCAGCTCCTATCAGTGATCAGGGCCAACCATCAGTGTTGAGGTCAACCAATAGTCGTGTTAGGGAGCGTCTACCCGCTAGAGACTCGAGCAGCATCAGTGCACAACCTGAGCTCCGACACACCTAAAATTCTCCCAATGTTTAGAGAAGCAGAGAAGCTGTAAAGTCGGCAGTGACTATAGCCGCCACAGAAAAACTGTTCTAAGGAAAGTTAACTATTTCACAACAGGTCAGGGCCACAAACTGCAGTGTTGGCAGCTTAGTGTAGCAGTGAGAGGTGTGGTGGTGCGTGGGGGCACATATGGTCCCCAGAGGGCACCCGTGGATGATGGCCGTCCCTCAGCCGCTAGAAGAGCCTCCCCGCGTGACAAGAGGAGAGCGAAGCATCTCTCCTGAAGGAAGACTCGACTTTACCCACACTACCGAGGTCCCTGCGCGGGCGGCCAGGGGCGTGTGTGGACCCCAGGGGATGCGAAGGGCGTGGTGCTGGAGGCGGCAGATGGTGTGGGCGCTCCTGGCCCTCTCCTGCGGCCTCTCCCTCCCTCTCGTCTCCACCATGCCAGGTAACCTAATACTATTTCATTATTGCATAAATATACAAAATTTATCCATTTATAAACAAGATCGTATGTCATTTTTTCCCCAATAGGTTTCCCTCAAAAAATCTTAACTGCATTTGTTTTTGTGTTTGTTAACCTGCGTCCCCCCCCCCTTATTTCCCTGCTCTCTCACTCTTGTTTACACATATAGCAAAGACGAGGATTCAATAGGAAGTATATCGATGTTCCGTAATGAATAATGTAACCTACACGATGCTGTCATGCATCAGTTCATATGAAGGCTAGTTCTAGAAACTCAAATATTTAGTGAGTTCATTGTTTTCATTATCTGAACATCAGGTAATGCAAAGTTGGCAGTGTAGGAGCCAGGTGTGTACCAGAGTCTTAATATGGCCTCTTGACTTCATGACAGCATTATCTACTCCAGGACAAAACATGTTGCGAACGTGAGAGTAATTAAGGAAATAATTATTGACAATCAAGCGTCATGGATTTTACTTGTCTTCTCGTTGACCCTGAAGTCAGAAAAGTGGGGAACCTTGAGAACATTGGCCTTATACTTGACAGTAAGACCACAACTATATACCTAGCGTTGAAGGCTCTCATATACTGACAGGTCCTGTGAAGATGGATTAAGACTCGTGATAAGTCTTCTTACAGAGTTCTCTTCCTTGTCTTAAAGTCAAACAAGGTGTGTGGGTAAGGCCATGCAGGAGGGTCGTGTATACTCGAGATGCAAGATGATGATTTGCAATATTTTCTGTAAAGAATGCACCTTAGTGCAGTAAGTTTCTTGGCTGCCTGTGTGACTTGTTAAACGAAGGACTCTTAATGGCCAATGACTAATTAAACTTCATCTCTTTGGTGTCAACTTCATTGCTTTAAACAAAGAAATTGTTGTCATTGTGTAACTGTGTTGACAGGACACTGTAATTGTTGACCACTGAATGGTCTATCCTCTTGTGAACTGAAACTATATTGGCCTTTTTCCATTGGAAATGGCATATTCCCTTTCAGCTAAACAGAGTTTCTAAGGCCACGCCCAGCAAGTCTGAACAGTTAGGTAACTCTCTCTGGTTAACCATAGCAGGCTCCATTGACTTACCTATATGAAGTGATTTAATAGCCTCTGCAAAGAACTTTGAGACAAGTGTATGGTACAAGTTGGGAGGTTCTCGTTAGCATTAAAATGGTCTGTAAGTGTCAGCAATTTCTTGATTGATGATTGCAACATTTCCATAGTCTTGATTTCGTGATGGGATTGTATCCTCAGATGAATATTCCTAGCAGTCGTTGTCCACAGACCACCAAACTTTGGGTCCAACTCCTCCTGAGGCACGTTTTATTCCTGTTTCTGATACCCATTAAGAGAAAGTTTTCTTTCAAACTCACCTCAATGTCTGGTTACACAGATGAGTGAGGGAGAGAGTTTTATGTACACGTACACCTTGTGTACTCCGACTCTTGTGAGCACGCAGTGTTCACTTCGTTGGTTCTGGTGTGTATGCACTAAACACCACATTGTGGCACTGTTCCTCTTGACATAAGAATAAATGTCACAGAATGTCACTGTGCAACGCCACTTCTCTTGGCGACTGCTAGATGATAAATAATAACGTAGCAAGTCTTGTTGTCTACCACCTATCACATATAGCCTTCCCGGTTTGGTGCCTTCTTTTGATAATTACTTACCACCTATTACACTAAACAACATCGCTCCTTGGACGGATCTTTAGAATTGCACTGTCCTCACCACATCACTGCCTACCTGGCTCTCTGGTCCGCCTTGATCTTGTCTTCATGTCGATGTTCTTACCAGAACCTGTGGCTGCTTTCAACAGAGAGGATTAAATACGCCCCATCAATTTGGTGATGGTAAGTGAGGGGTCTCAGATCACTACCTAATGGAAGGAGATGTGCCAAGGATGTAACATAGAGCAACGTCTCAGAGACACCACTAAATCCTGCAGTCGTAGCTAATTCTTCTTCCAGAAATTGTTGTCCGGTTTGCTTGAGTTATGGTAAACCCTTAGACTCTCGTCTAAGGCTGAGCCTTCCTTCTCAATGATGCTTTCTGGTCTACATACGCCCTTGAAATTTCCAATCTGGGCCCATCAAGCTGGAGTATTGTGATCTCAGAACTCTCCATGATTGGGGGGTGATCGACATGGGCAAGGATCAATGATTATGTGTGCTTTTATCCGAAGCCTTAGAGCTAGCGATCCAGAACTTAGTCTTGTACTGTGCTTCTGTTCAAGCAGAGAGCAGCGATTTCAACAGGCATGAAAATCGAAAATCATTATTAGACGAGACCATCACCCAAGAGGCTTAGTCAGAGACCGGGCCGTGGGAGCCCTTGACCCGGATGCACTAAGCAGTTATGCAAGTACTTACGAACGTGTACATCTTTCCTCTATCTTTGACGACTTTGGTTATCTTTATTAAACAGTTTACAAGCATGAAAACGTCCCAATCAACTGTTGCCATTGTTATAAACAGCCTCCTGGTGCTTCAGAGCTCATTAACTGTTAAATAATTGCAAACAAAGCCGCCAAAGATTGAGAAAAGATTTACAGGTTCGTAAGTGATTGTATAACTTCTTCGTGGATCTGGCCCCTGGACCCCCGGAATCAACGTAACGTAAATTAAGGCTACTGTTCCATAAATTCCCAAAAAACATAATTACAATTTTTAAATATATCTGAAACATCTTAAAACTAACAACTTGTTCTGTGCAGCCTGCAATGTTACTCTTGGGGGAGTAAGACTTTTAACGAAGGTAGAAGAATGCTTTTAGACGATTGCAGGCAGGTGATGTACAAATAGTTTGGTCATATACTGACGATGGACGATGTACTCTCCTGGAGACTCCATATGTAGTGAACATGTTTGCTTGGCAGTTCACATTCCACTGTATAGTACATGCATAGTATAAAGAACATAATTTAAAGGCAAACAGGAATGACATGATTAGGTTCAGTCTGAACAGATTCATTGAAACAACCAGTAACTATCCTGCCTTGACCCAGCCTGTCACGAAGCATTCCTGACGTAGCATAAACTACCAACCTTCACATGGATTCCTTCTGACTAATTCCCAGCACAAGAACCATATCCGGATGATGATTGTTCATGATACACGCGAGTTTATCAATATTGGTGTATGGTGGCTGGCCTCATAGCTGGTCTGCTACAGGTGTACATAACTGGTCTTTGATAAGGTACAACCCACATACAGAGCTTTGTATGGATAGCCGCGGTGCCAATCTGGATGTACACGGGTTGTAAGTACTTCTCGGTCTGTTCAGAGATTATATCTCTAAATATTTGATCATGTCTTTCCAAATCTTTTTTTGATTTCGGAAGCGGTGTTTCCGCAAATCTGAAAATGAATAATTGACGACGTTTCCGTCGGCACTTGACCATTATCAAGTCGTTAATTCTTCATTTTCAGATTTGTAGGTTGAGGTCTAATCTTTAGTCAAGTTATTGTGATTCAATATCTGATACTGGTTCATGTAGCTGTTACACTTGATATCACGTGGCTGTTATCAGCATTTGCGACTGCAAAAGGAGCAGGACCCAGTTACTGGGTAGTGAGGGTGCCTTGTCAGATCACCGCATTATCTTTCCTGCTGAATTGTACTTGAGCGGCTCGTTGAGATCGTTGTCCACGTTGTTCAGCACGAGTATAATGTTGGTGATGCAGTATCTGACTGTTGTTAATGACGTGGGTGTGAAGGTTGAGACCGTTGGAGATGAGGAGAACGTTCACCGTTGGACCCACTGGCAGCTTTTCTCAATTTTTAATGTTTGGTGTTGGCCCTTGAAGATGTGCTGCGGATGCCTCTTGATTCTTAGTTTTTGAAGGCGCAGGAAATCGCGGTCTCAGCTTGGTCATAGTAGTGGACCCAGTGGACTTTGAGATGAAACTGTCAATACTGGGTATTTCCTCAGGTTGTATGTTAACAATTGCAACAATTGGTCGCAACTCTTAGGTGATTGGATGTCCTGTGGAGTGATTTTCGGTGCTCGACTTGTGGGTACTAATTTCCTGTTTTGAACTGACACAGAGAGATTCCCGCCAAAAGTTTACTGCCAAGCTGTTTGCAGTGTGAGAGTTGTAGTTACTGTCCATTTCCTCAGCACGGGTTGAGCAGCCAGTCTCTCATGTTGAAGGTGCGATCTGAATATCACAGATTCTCGTGACTGAGCTCATGCACCCTAAAGATCGATCAGTGTATCCCTGTGTTGGGTAATCCGCTGGGAAACTTTCAAGCACTAACTGAGCACGAACATTTGGTCTGTGAAGTAATCTATCACACTACCTGCTCTGCTGTCTTAATGGATTTTTCACAGAAATGAACACCCAGAACCATAAACTTACTGCAAGAGTCCTGAGAACTATCCCCCCTCCCCCCACTTCCCGTGTACACCAACATTCATCGTCAATTTTGAAGCATGAATGTATGCGTTAGGGCAGTCTTTCAGATAGCACCTAGTAGCCTGAAGGGCCTCGTAGCCTGGTGGATAGCGCGCAGGACTCGTAATTCTGTGGCGCGGCTTCGATTCCCGCACGAGGCAGACACAAATGGGCAAAGTTTCTTTCACCCTGAATGCCCCTGTTACCTAGCAGTAAATAGGTACCTGGGAGTTAGTCAGCTGTCACGGGCTGCTTCCTGGGGGTGGAGGCCTGGTCGAGGACCGGGCCGCGGGGACACTAAAGCCCCGAAATCATCTCAAGATAATCTCAAGATAGTAGAATCCTTGTCCCTGATGGTGTAGCCATAAAGAGAGCAGTAGCTACTAGGTGTGCATTCCCATGAAAATTTAACTCCTCGAAATTTAAGATGGTAATGGCGCGACAGAGCGAACCCCAGGTGTCAGAGTCCGGGTTAGAGAGGACGACGTAGCGGTGAGTGGCTAAAATCAAAGACCTTTGAGAGAGAGATGCGGGGTCCGCTATGGGGTCCAGGCGCTTATAAGCCCATGCATGCAATCTC